CTCCCTCCTCCCACACATCGCACCCACCTGAGCCTTTCTCCCCACCGATTTATACATGATGAATAAGAACAACAATTCAAACAGCACTTTGTTGTTTGATCAACGACTTGTCGCTCAACTACTTTTTCAAACTCTGGACGGAGGCCCCTTTCGAACTCCAGGGAGAGATTTTTAAACTTGTCTCACACTCACTGGGTGCCTGCTTTTGCCTCCCCGGGTCAACAGGCCCCCCTCACCTCTTCTGCCCTCTCCACCCAAGCCTGCAGGGCTATTTTGGGTGTGTACCAGTCAGGGTTAATCTCCTTAATCGTTGAGCTGTGCTGCCCAGTGCACTCCTGATAGGGCCCAGCCCTCTGCAAAGGGCAATCTGAGGGTTGGTGCCACCGGCCTCGGGCACTCAGGCATCCCCATCCCTGTAGAGAAGCCATGGACGCTGGGCTGTGAACTGGGACTGGTAGGGGAGGGGAACAGCGAGGCCGTGTGACCCAAGGGGGAGGTCAGGAGGCTCTGGCCCAGCAGCTACTGGCTAGTGGGGTGCTTCTGGTTAGCTTCTCAAGGGACAACCTAAAAGAGCTTCCTCCACCCCCACTCCCAGGTCAGCTGCCCCTGCTCCTGGCTGCGTGCAGGTGCTAATCCCCAGCCCCTGGTAACGCCAGGGAGAAGGACAGGGGAGACAGGCTGGAGATTTTCTTTCCCACTTGGGAAGGAAAGAGAACACATGAGTTGACCTGCTGGGATCAGGTTCCTGAAACCGGAGCCAAGCACAAGGGTTTCACTGAACTATTGGCTACACACCTGCCCAGGGGCTTTGTCTTCCACCTGGGCAGAAGGAGAATCCCAGGAGGACCAGGGCAGAACACACAGGGCTGAGAGGTCTGCCCCTTTAAAGGGAGGGAAGGAAGCTGGGGGCCAGCTCTGCCAAGCCCCACCTCCAGCTCCAAACATTCATTCAACAAACAGAGGTTGAGGGCCCACCTTGCGCCTGCCCTGGTGTGGGCACTCATCCTCCAGAATCACACGAGCTGGCGAGGAAGAGATATAAGAAAACAGGATGGGGTTGGTACAGAGCATGGCACTGGAGTGCTCAGATCAGACATGGTGCCTAAATTTGCCCTACAGTCAGGGAAGACTCCCTGGAGGAAGTAGTACCTGAGACCTGAAGGGGGCATGAGGGTGGATTGGGGAGAGGAGTATTCATCAAGGACTGGGTAAACCAATCCAGGACAGCCCTGGAGTCCTCCATCCCTCTGAGGGAGAAGCCATCTGAGGCCTCTTCCACAGTCTATACCTCTCTGGCACAATAGCCAGAGTATTAATCTTGGGGCTCTTTCCCCAGAGAAACCAGAGCTGAAGACCCAAACTGGGCCTGCCTTCCACTCTCAGCTTCTGTCTAAAAAAGGCAAACCAACATTTCATTATGGAAAATGTTAAACACATATGCAAAAGTAGAGAGAACCATGTAGACCCATCACTCAGCTTCAGCAGTGATCAATTGATGGATAAACTTATTTCATCTATTCCTTGGCCCCCTTCCCTTGCCCATATTATTCTAAAGCCAATTCCCTTATCTTATCAGTTTTTCCCATAAATATTTCAGTATCCGTGTCTAAAAGGCAAGGGTCCTTTAAAAAGTGTATCCACAATACCATTATCCCACCTAAAAGGAATGGACAAAAATTTCTAATGCCATCCAATATCCAGGCAGGATTTACTTCCCTAATCTACACTTGGTTCTAATAGTTTGAATCCCAAATCCACACTTGGTGTTAATATTTATGTTCCTAGGGGTGCCTGGGTGGCTCAGTTGGTGAGACGTCCGACTTCGGCTCGGGTTATGATCTCATGGTCTGTGAGTTTGAGCCCCATGTCGGGCTCTGTGCTGACAGCTCAGAGCCTGAAGCCTGCTTTGGATTCTATGTCTCCTTCTCTGTCTGCCTCTCCCCTAATCACGCTCTGTTTTTGTCTCTCAAAAATGAATAAATGTTAAAAAATTTTGTTTTTAAATATTTATGTTCCTAGTTTTGCGGGCAGGGATGAACATTCAGCCAGACTAGACAATGTGATAGCCCAGTGCTTCTGTGACGACAGTATGAATATGTGACCTGTGCTTTGTAACACCTCTGTGGTGCTTCTGTATGTGTGTGTCTTGTGACCCTAATTAGATTATAAATTCTTCAGGACAGGGGCTGGCATTACTGCCCTTTTTGGTACCCTGGTGTGGCAGAGAGGAAGATGCATAGTCCTTAAAGCTGGCCAGGCTACTTGTTGCTGTGTGAACTTAGGGCGGTTAATCCAACCTCTCTGAGCCTCAATTTGCTGCTCTGTATAATGGGAATAAAAATACCTATCTCCCAAGAAGCACAAGATTTAAATAAAAGAAAAGGTGAATATGCATAGCATATAGAAATTTCTCAGTAAATGTTCATCTTGCTGTGCTTCCTCAAGTCAAATGAAACAGGCTCACAGTTACTCTTTGTTTTCATTAACTTCCAGTTCCTTACTGGGAGCAAAAAACACTATCAGTGAGAGCCACAGCCGTCATGGCAGCCTGGAACTCCACCCTGGCACTGTTCTGTGTCTGTGCTATCAAAGGCCCCCCAGCCTGAGTATCCAGGGTTTGTTTGTTTATTGTTTACTTTGGCTATGAGTTAAACAGACACGCTTGGCTTCCTCAGCGCTGAGGGAACTAAAAGAAGGGAGGGGCTGGCAAGGGGTAGAAATTAATGAATTAATCATTTCATAGCTGTTGTTTATTGAGCATTTATTATATGCCAAGCTCAGTGTTAAGTGCTGTACATTATTATGCTTTCCGTTTTCACAGCAATCCTAAGGGCTGGATACTTCGTAGCTGGGGAAAGTGAGACAGGTTAGGTAACTTGTCAGTTACATAGTTATACAGACCAGAAGAGACGCTACTACTCAAACCAGGCTTTTCTGGCACTTAAATCCAAGTTCTTAATCACACACTCACTAGCTTGCTAATGGTGCTAAGGAAACCACTTTTTAGGGTTCATGGCCATTCATCCAGGTTTACAGAGATGACTGCTGCCCATGGCTTGGGATGTACCCTGAACTCCAGCCAGCCACTCTGCCAACATATGCCCTTGGACTGGATGAGGAAGAGTAAGGGCAGCCTATCCCTCCAAGGGAAAAATGACACTGAAGCCACCTCATACCGTCTCACATACACCTGTGTGGGTGTGTGGGTGCACACCACACACACTCACACATGCACACACCCCACCCTCTGTTCCCTGACCGGGGCTCTGTCTGCAGAAACAGGCGTGCACCTGGCAAGGGTGAGGGGGGTAGGGCTGGGGAGAAGCATGCCAGGGTTTCAGTTGGCTCAGGAAAAAGGCTTTTGAGAATGAAATTTCCCGGAGCATAAGAGTCCCTCACGCTCTCCACACCCTAAGCATCTTGCTTTGGGTTTGAGAATGTTCTGCATTTGACTTCAGTCTCCGGAGTATCTTTCTGCATCCCAGAAGCCACCGGGCACAGAGCCTGGGGACTCTCTGCAGGAGAAGAGAAGGGCCGGGCTCCAGGTTGGGTGTCCAAAGCCTGGGGTGCGTTGCCTGGCTTTCCCTACATGTCCTGTGGGTGTCGGGTACCAGGTCCTCATGGGGAGTCCCCTATGTCCTCTCATTTTGTTTTCCATAAGCATTCTAGTGTCTGTTCATCTTGACACAAGTGGCATCAGAGGCAATCACCTTGCCCCCAGAGCAATGAATTCCCGAGCCTTCTAACTCCTCACTCCTGACTTCTTGGTGAAGCCTTAACCATGGGCCCGGGGTGGTAGAGATAGAGACAGAGGTCCAGCTCTTCTACCTCACTTTCCCTCATCCCTCCCTCTCATCTCCTTTGCGAGAACGAACACGGTGTTTGAAGCTCTGGGCCTTGGTTTCCATAGACGTAAAACAGAGGATGAGAATTGAGATTGAACTTTTTCACGCAAGAATCCACAAGTAACAGGCAAGGTACAAGAGACGTGGCCAGTAAGTACTGACGAGAAGAGAATCCGCGCAAAGACGTGGGACTGTTTCCCCACCAGACATGCTCTTCTGTGGCCAAGGGGTTCTACAGAGCCACGCTCAGGTGGAGGCTGGTCTAGTTTGTCCCAAGAAAACTTATATATGAACACATGATGAAAAAAAAACTCTCCGTGCCAACCCAGGAAAAGAGAAAGGTTTTGCTTAAGCCCGTCTTACGTGTGGGCAGATGCTTCCAAAATGGCGCCCTTGCATCTCCTCTGTCCCCTCCTCATGGCAAAACCCCGCTGGGAAATATCCTTATTCCCCCCACCCCAAAGGGGCCTGGCTGACTTGTAAAAGGAGGGGATTACTACCTGGCTTACTACCAAAAGGAGGGGATGCTCCCTCAAGATGCTCCTCCAAGGAAGTGCAAACCCCAACTTCCCTGGGAGTGAAACTGAAGCCATCAGGTTAAGGAGCATTTCCCACCTCACAGACCCCCAACCCCTGCCTCCCATCGCTGTGGGAGGCCCATCTGCCCCTGAGCCTCCTCAAATGGTCCATGTGCCTTGAGTTGCCCAGAGGGCCTAAAAGCGAGCAGTTCTGCAAGGAGGGCTGACTATCTTTCCTGAGGTGGCTGCCAGGAGACCTCGAGCATCATCCTATCCTCCGCCCGTCCTCACAACGGAGGACGTGAATGTGAGGGAATAAAGTGCTCGGGGACAAGGATGGTGTCATCTTGACAATGAACGCTTCAAGGACGTTCTCCAGCTCCCATTCTCCCCGTGGACCCATCTGCTATTGCGGGATGGCGAGTTCTGCTAACATAGCCAATTTGTGCTCTATAACCGAAACTAGGGGCAAGAGGTTCCCAACTGCCAGTTCAGCGGATGGTGTTTGCTTCCGAAGCACCAGAGCTTTTGCCAACAAGACCTTTTGCTCTAAGGAAAGCAGCATCCGAGTCACGAGTTAGGGTCTCCCTCCCCGCCCTGCCCTCCCCCCCCTTCCTGTAGCATATTGCTCACTCACATCCATGGACATCTCCCTCTGAATAAGTTTCTTGGTCTCCTTTTCACAGAAGCTGAGCATGGCTTCCCGGCTGTACATGCCCGTGGACTGCTTCTCCGTCTGGTTCCTCTGCCGCAGCCCCACGGGAATGCTCCCATCTGGGTCCACCACGTCCAGCTCCTTCTCCAGCTCCTCCATCTCCTCGGGAGACAGGGTGGACAGCAGGCTGTCGATGTCAGGATCTTCGCTCACCTGCCGCCGATACTTGGCTACCTTAGACATCTTGGCAAAGTGGGTTGTGGCTCTCGCAGGGGCTGCTGGACTCCTGATGGGCTACGAGGGGGAGGCACGGAGCTGATCTGGATGGAGCAGAGTGGACTTGAGAGCGGACCCCTAGCTGGTTGAGGACGTGGCTCCTCCGCCCTGCCCTGCTCTGCCACAGGTGCCGAAGTGTTAACTGCAAGCCAGCTCCGAAGCCCGGGGCTAGTGGACCCTGGCTGGTCTAACCAGCGGCCAATAAGACTTGACAACTGCCTGGCCCCGAAAGGCGAAGCCAATCCCCACGCAGGGGGCGGGCCTGCCTCGCTGTCAGAGCTGTTTGAAACTTGAGGACATTCCAGGGAATCTTGGAGCTCTGTGTGACCAAATTTAGTACAGAGCATTTAGCCTTTTAAAGACAAGGGGGCCACGCAATGAGAAAAAGATACAAAAATGCAGAGGCTGGCAGAAGCTGATCAGAGCCACGGGAGAGCCAGAAAAGCAGGGATGGGGCTGTGGGGGTTCAAGAACAGGCCCGTCCCAGGCATGTCCTGTTGGAGCACAGATCTGACGTCTCATCCTGGGTGGATGTTGCTGTAGTTGGTGCATGGTCCGCTGACTCCTTTCTACTGTATTTGGTAATGTGCTGGGGGACTTCCAGTAGTTTACAGCCTCAGGAAAGATATGAGATTCCAGATCATCTGAATTACCTGCCCACCCATCCTCTCTTCGAAGGAGAACCCAAGTGCTGAGCATCAGAGGCCTCAGCCACTTCTTGAGAGAGAGGAGAGACAGAGAAAATAAATCTCCACTGTGTACCCAAACTGAAAACTGGTAGGCTGTTTGGGGAAGACAATGTGACCTGCAGAAGTCAGGAAACTTCAATTTCCATGGGGTTCAGACCCCCCTCCCTTCTCATCTGCTGGGGCAACCGTAGACAAACCTCCTTTGGGAGCGCCGAGGAGGAGCCGGCAGGTTGCCACCCCACCTATAAATCCAGAGCATGATTGAGGGTGTCTTCGGAGAAATTTAATTCTGGGCTGTGGGGAGGGATACTATTGCAGCAGGCCTGGCATGTTTCATAAAAGGGCTTTCCACTGCCCATCCATCATGCTGCCTGCACAAGTCACAGAGACACTCAATCTCCTGCCCCCCTCCCTCCTGCCACAAAATCCCTTCTAGAAGCCCCGGTGTAACCCATCAGGGTAGATGCTTCGATCTTTCCTGGCGTCTTTCCATCCTAAGTCAGAGAGAGAGAGAGTCACCTGATCAGCATTTGCTGAGTACAGGGATCGTCTGGGACAAAAACTTGGCCCTGGCATTCAATGTCCACTAGTCCAGCTTTAGGTTAAGGCTGAGGAAGGGATGGCGCTGACTGACGGGACTGGAGTACAGAGGTGAGGCAGGGAGACCTGAGAGGAAGAGTGGAAGAAAGGCTTAGAGTATCCTGGGGGTTGTCATTTTTAGAAGGCAGTGGTCAATCTGTCAGTGAGCCAGTAAACATGTATTTATTGAGCGCCTATGTGTCAGGCACAGTTCTAAGGGCAGAATGTATAACTAAAGATAGAAAGTCAGGAGCACCTGGCTGGCTCAGTGGGTAGAACATCTGACTCTTGGTCTCAGGGTCAAGAGTTCAAGGCCCAGGTTGGGTGTGGAGCCTAACTTTAAAAAAAAAAGAAGAAAAATGAAACTCCGTGCAGGCTCTGCCTTCTTGCAGCTTACTTTCTATCAGTGAAGATAGTTAATAAGTAAATAATTTCAAATAATTCATTAAAGAATTAAAAGTCTACAACATGCCTCAGAAGAGAAGTACAGGGGCCATAAGGAAACTCAACAGAGGAGGCCGGAGAGCAGGATGGCTTCATCGCTCAAGCCTAGGCTCTCCAGGCCAAAGGACCATGTTAGGTCCTGGCATTGCTGCTTGCCAGCCAAGTGACGGAGGGTTGACTTAATCATCTGTAAAATAAGGACAGCAGTGGTACCAACCTTGTAAGATTGTTGTGAACATTGGATCCAAACTCACACACAGAACAGTTGCTATACTTGATATATGGTAAACACATGGTAATTATTAGCAGTGATTACTGTTTTTTTAAACATTTACTTATTTTTGAGAGACAGAGAGACAGAGTGTGAGCAGGGGAGGGACAGAGACGGAGGGAGTCACAGAATCCAAAGCAGGCTCCAGGCTCCGAGCTGTCAGCACAGAGCCCAACGCAGGGCTCGAACCCACAAACTGTGAGATCATGACCTGAGCCGAAGCCAGATGCTTAACAGAATGAGCCACCCAGGCCCCCCTGTGATTACTATTTTTATACAGTTATTTACAATTATGTATTTACTTGCTTCATACTTGTCTCCCCATCCCACCTCTTGTCTTTTTCTTTCTTTCCTCAGCAGTAACCACCCTCAGTACCAGTACACACACACACATCCCTTCTCATCTGATGCTCACTCACTCATTCATTCAAGCATTATTCAGATACTGCTATGTATAGATAGCATGCCAGGCACTATGGGGTAAGAGATACAAAAAAATTACAACATGGTTATTCTCTTTAAAATGTATAACTTATGGGGCAAAACCTAATTATACTATAAGGCAAAGTGAAGCAAGACAGGTGGACGTGATTGTTAAGAGCCCAACAGAAGCTACAGTAGTTTTTTGAGACAGAGAGTGAGCAGGGGAGGGGCAGAGAGAGAGAGGGAGACACAGATCTGATGCAGGCTCCAGGCTCTGAGCTGTCAGCACAGAGCCTGACATGGGGCTTGAACCCACGAACCATGAAATCATGACCTGAGCCAAAGTTGGATGCTCCACTGACTGAGCCCCCAGGTCCCCCAGGCTGCAATGATTTTGCAGGGAGGAGTCAGGTGGGCATCCCAGAGGTCCTAACAAAGGACTTAAGCTAGGCCGAGGTGGGCTTTCGTTCAATATGCTGTGTGGAAAGGATACTTCCTGCATCTGCCACTGAGTCCCTAGCCCAACCCACCCCTAATCCTGTCTCGCCTTGGGTAACTCAGTCTTCACCCTCACTCTGGCCCAGCCTCTTTCTGGAGGAGGCATCGCCTTCTGCGATCCCTGGCTCTAGCGTCACGTTGGCCAGCCTCTTCTCCCAGGCCCCGGTCCACTAAACGCAGCTCTCTCTCCAGCCTCCATGGATTCTTCTTTCTTAGGCTTTTTGCTAATAATGTTCACTTCTCCCAAACAGCAGTCAGGACCTGAAGGCAAAAACTACCTTCAGCCCCTGGGGCAGCCTTTATACCATCTGGTTTCAGTGGCCTTCCATCTGGGTCCAGTGGAACTGTGGGAACACACTCAAAAAATAAATCTACAGCTTCCACAGTTTAAGTCTGGACTCATGGCCTCCTAACCAAAGCGTCTGCACATAAACCCCTGTATCTTCTCTGCCTCGGGTCCCACAATTCCAAACAGCTGGCTCTTCTGATATGACCCAGTCTGAAACGTTTTGCTCTGTAGAGTCCCAGGGACTGTGGGCTCACAGACTCTGAAAAGTTTCCCTTGAAAAGCATCACAGAGGGATCTGGAAGGCTCGGGAACCCTGAGCCCAGGAGCACAGTCTCCTCCAGCACCTGCAGTGAGGAACCACTCACTGCCCACTTTCTCTGTAGGGGCCAAGAAGTATCCAAGCTCAGAATCCACTTCCACCTGAAACAGACACATCATGAGTATCATGCGATTCTGGCACAGACTACTGCTCACAGAAAAACATGTACTGTTATGTTGGAACCAGGGAGAGAGAAAGGAAGGGAGACCCCAAGCTCTAGCCAAATATGTGGTGTTGGTGTTGGTGGGAAAAGGGAACCAGAACCAATTTAGCCAATGCTCAATGGAGCTCAAGCTACATAGGACCAGGCACCTTGAAGGCACTGAGGGGCTGCGAGGGGAAGAGTCTGAAAAGGTCTATCCCCTTCCTCCACAAGTTGGGTCTGTGTAGAAAGAAGCATTCTTGGTTCTTTTTTTCTCGTTTGTGGTTTATTCTCTTGCGCACTCCCTACAGAGGCTGTTTCTGGTCTGTTCCTTACCCTATGACCTCATGGTATCCTTCTAGAATGAACTCCTTGAGCTATATTCATAAAGGAGATACAATTTTTAAATTGTTTTTTCAATTTTTTTATTTATTTCTAAGAGAGAGAGACAGAATGTGAGCAAGAGAGGGGCAGAGAGAGAGGGAGACACAGAATCCAAAGCAGGGCCCAGGCTCTAAGCTGCCAGCACAGCACAGAGCCCAACGTGGGGCGCAAACTCACAAACCATGAGATTGTGACCTGAGCGGAGGTCAGACACAACCAATTGAGCCACTCAGGCGCCCCAGGAAATAAAACTTTAATAAGTCTTTATTACCCTGGAAGGGAAACAAATCTGGTCGAAGAAGGGAAAGGAGGCTTCTCTGCCTTTCCTTTCTTGTAATTAAATCTGCTCCAGAGGAAGTCCTGTCTCTAGCTTTCCAAGGCCATTGGCTTCTACAACATTCTTGAAAAGAGAATCTGAAAGAATTTAGTTCTTCTCAAAACTTTTTTTTTAAATTTATTTATTGTTTTTTGAGAGAGAGGAAGACAGAGTGGATGTGGGGGAGGGGCAGAGAGAGAGGGAGACATAGAATCTGAAGCAGGTTCTAAGCTCTGAGCTGTAAGCACAGAGTCCGATGTGGGCCTCGAACTCATGAACCATGAGATTGTGACTGGAGCCACAGTAAGATGCTTAACTGACTGAGCCACCCAGATGTCCCAAAAGAATTTAGTTCCTAATGCTTGGATGTGTAGACATGTGAGAGATCTGTAGGTAACTGTCTCCAGACACAACTTATTTTTCCAGTCTTGCTTCTTAAGTCATTCTCCACATTTACTGCCCTAGGACTTTACTGCTTGATATAGCTTTGCTCTTGCTGCTTTAGTCTTTTTTTTTTTTTTAATGTTTATTTGCTTTTGAGAGAGAAAAATAGCATGAGTGGGGGCAGGGGGCAGACAGAGAAAGGTACAGAGGATCCGAAGCAGGCTCTTTG